TACCTTCTCACCAGAAATATATGACTCCACATCTTCACCAAAACTTGGCATTTTAAACTAAGGAATGCAAAACTATATTTCAATACAGTATTAATATACAGTTATCAAATTACTAGTGAGTTGTATTTTTTTTTCTTAAAAAGGCATTCTCTCACTGGAGAGAATGTTTAGATTTTATTTACTTTTTTAATTTAAATTCAATCAGCCAACATATAGTCATACATCATTAGCTTCAGACGCAGAGTTCAGCAATTCATCATTTGCATGTAACACCCAGTGCTCATTACATCGTGTGCCCTCCTTAATGCCCATCATCCAGTTACCCCATCCCCCCCACCCACTTTCCCTCTAACAACCCCCAGTTTGTTTCCTATAGTTAAGAGTCTTTCATGGTTTTTCTCTCTCTATGATGACTTCCCATTATGCTGAGCAAAATAAGTCAAACAGAGAAAGACAGTTATTATATGGTTTCACTCATATGTGGAATATAAGAAACAGTACAGAGGATCATAGGGGAAGGAATGGAAAACTGAATGGGAAGTCATTAGAGAGAGTTGTGTGTATTTTCATATTCCTTTTGACCATTTAGGTTTTCTCTTCTATAATTATCCTGATTATATATTTTGTAAATTTTTCCCTTGGGATAATTTATAGAAATTTGTTATATATACTGATTAATAATTCCTTAATATTTATATGTATTGTAAACAAATTTGCCTAAGTAAATTTCTAGTCAGTATTTAGTCTTTTCTCTCTTATAATGTTGGTATTTTTAATTTAAATATGGTTGAATTTTCAATGTTTCATTTTTTGTGCATTCACGTCCTGTTTAAATATTTTTCTATATATCTAAAGCATGGATATTTTGTTGTTTTACTCTCAAAGCCGTACAATTCAAATCTTTAACCCACTTGGAAATTAGTTTTGTAAAATGTAAGGTAGGAATACAATATTATTTTTCACATGTATAAACATTTATAGCTCCAGTTTATTGGACCATTTTTCATTCAAGTACATGCTCTTGGTTTCAGACATCAAGTTTCCATAGACCTGTGGACTTGTTTATTATTTCTTTTTATCAATTCCATTGATCCATTTGATCACCTTCACATCATACCATACCATAATGTCTTTATTATTACCACTTCTTAAGAAGTTCTGATATCTGATAGAATAAGTTCTCACCTTGTTGTCCTTTAAAAAATTGTCTTAGCTTTTTTAGATCTTTTCCCTCCCATATAAATTTTAGAATAACTTCATCAAGCTGTATGTAAAATTCTTTCAAAATTTGGTTGGAATTACATGGAATTTGTAGATTAATATGGGGGGAAAATGTAATGTTTATAATATTGAGTTCCTCTCCATGATCCTGGTCTGTGTTTGGGTCTTCTTTAAGTCTTTAAATAAAGTTGTATTATCTCAATAAGGTCATGAACATGTTTAGGTACTTTATTTTTGATGTTATTGTAAATATGAATTTTTAAATAACATTTTTAATTATTTCTGGTGAACAGAAATGCAATTGATTTTTATATATTAAGCTATTATTTAGTAACTTTACTAGGCTCACTAAGAATTTATCTGTCAAGTCTCCAGAATTTTTATAGAGACAATTACATTATCTAAAAATAGTGACAACTATGTTTCTTCCTCATAATCATTTTACCTTTCATGTCTTCTGCATTTTGTCCTGGCTTCCAGAAAAATACTAAACAGATTCAGTCATAATAAGCATCTTTGTCTTGTTCTTTAATTTACAGGCATTGCATCTCATGGTTTAATAGTAAATATAATATTTAGTGCAGCAATGTAGTCCCCACCTGTTTTCATTTTTGTTCTAGTTAATCATGAAAATTTATTGAATTTTGTCAAATAGTTGTCCTATATCTATTGAGAAAATCATATGGCTTTTCAAAGAATATATTAATATGACAAATTATATCAATAAATTGATATATTTTATCAATTTTATCAATAAAATCCAGTATTTAAAAATGCCTTCATGGGCGCCTGGGTGGCTCAGTTGGTTAAGCGACTGCCTTCGGCTCAGGTCATGATCCTGGAGTCCCTGGATCGAGTCCCGCATCGGG